GGGGGGGGGGGGGGGGGCAGAAAATGTTTGAAGAAAGAGTGCACCACAGGTTAAAGCCCAACAGTCAGTCCAGAGCTTTGAAACGCTCCTGACAGGTAGCCCTTCATCAGCCACCTTTAACTTGTCTATAACGCTGTGGCCTAATTTTTACCTAACACTCACTGACATCAACACTTCAACTCTATAACATTATTTCTCCAACCTAAAACCTGTTGTAGGTTTTTATTGTTTACTTTTAAAGGGATCCATGGTTACTTGTAACATTAGACATTTACTTAAACTGTAAAACAAATCCTGTAGGCTGTTTAATTATTATAATTTAAACAATATATTGTAACATGGACAAAGCCATTTTATTAACGACCGAAAGCATACCAGGTAAATGATCACATTCACTAGGTTTTCTGGTTCAAGGTTGTGAGCTCATATCCTCCCTGAAGGTTAWTCTTGGACAATATCTGACGACTGGCTCTTTTAAATGAAACCAGAGAGCGTTGACAGAGAGGAGAAGGGAGAAATAATGCAGCCTGCTTCATGGATGGAGAACCTCAGCTTAGTCTGTTAGCTTTCACGTTAGCACCAAGCTAAAAAAATAAACATACACACACGCACACATATACATATGCGTATACATATATGTAAACACATACATACTTACTGGTCATCCTTCAGTAGAAGATGACCTTATAACCCATTATAGTCAAAAGTTTTTCTATTGCTTTTTCCAATGTGGGCGCAACTCCTGCAAATAAGTGTGAAATTATAAGTAATTTAAATATGACTTGAATATAAAATAAATACATAAAATCAAATAGCAAGAATGCACATGTAATCTATCACATCTATCACATGTTAATCTATAAATAAATGTATAAATGACTCCAGACATTTGGGCGTTGTATAATCTGATGACTACAGGCAGGAATGGTCTCCTGTGAGGCTCTGTGGTGCATTTTGGAGTGCTCTTTTTAGGCACTGAGTAATGCTTAAAGTAGGGTTTGTGAATGATTCTCAACTTGTTTTGCACCAAGTTTTAGCTCAATATCTGTAAAAATGACTGAAATATAAACATTTTGGTTTTCTAATGCCAGTTGGATGTGGCAGCCACAAGTTAATCAGTTGTAGATCTAATGATCACGTTCTGCAAGTTTCATTAAAATTCATCCAGTGGGTCATGAAACATTTTGCTAAAAGGCAGACACCCAAATACATGCATGCATGGACGATAAATATGTTTGTTTTCATAATGAATGCACCAAAAAGGAATGTTTAAAATAACATTTTCTCTTTGGAAAAAGTTTTAATGTACTTTAAACTGAACAAAACACTAAACGGATCTCTTCTGCTTTTGTCTCAGGCAGTGCAACAAAACGTCGGTTGGCAGTGACAGCTGTGACCTGATGTGCTGCGGCCGTGGATATAACCCGTACACAGAGAAGCTGGTAGAACGCTGCCACTGCAAGTACCACTGGTGTTGCTACGTAACCTGCAAAAAGTGTGAGCGAACCGTGGAGAGATACGTTTGCAAATGAGTCCATCTTCCTGCTGGACTCACCGGAAGTTCTTGACTTCATACTGAACCCCTTCCCCCACCAAAGGCTCAAGATTAACCAAAGCATTACAGTACCAAGAAGGCTTGCTTTGTCATAAAGGGATAGCCTTGTCAGCTGAAATGTTGTCCTGTCAAACAGTTATCAGTAGTCTGCTCCTTGTCAGTCAAAAGTTGTCCTCCAAGTTAGTCTCATGACGTTTGCAACAAGGACCAATTTTTATTGCTTTCCAGGCTTATAAAGCAACATACAAGTGCGAAAGAATGCTGCATTAGTCCATGTAACTTCTTAAATGTGTGTGCTGAGAATAAACTTTTGCTGATATAGCTTTGGCTGCTAAATGCATCAGTCTGCTCAGCACCATTATAAACACCGTCTATAGGGAAGTGCTTTTATAGCTTACATCGGTGAAACATGGGACCTGTTTATAGCAAAATATTTTTTGTTAGTTTACTGCATTTAGCTGTTTTTGTTGGAAGCAAGCCATTTTCCACGAAAATCGGCCAATGAGTTGTCTCATGCTCAACAGTAGCCTGTACTTCTTGAAAACAGCTGCTAGTGTTCCACCACATCCTTTAGTCCACTGTGTGTTAATAAGTACAGTCTGGTAAAAGTTCAAAAAAGAGCTTGACTCACCAACACTCTGCCAGATTTCTGTCACACGCATAAAACTCAAAGCACATGGAGAGGTGACGGTGAAGAGCTATTGAAGATAAAAGTTTTGTTTGCCATCAATCTATCTTTAACAAAGCCTGTCCTGGCTGGCATTATGAGCCATTTGACAACAGGACCCCACTCAGCGGTTGGAAGTTCTGTAGGTTTATTCCATTCTTGCAAAGATGCTTTGAGGGCTGGCAACATATGAAAGCCCGGTACCCGTCAGGTAACGTGATGAATATGTAAGGTTGGAAAACCCTGTTAATAATCTGGCTGGATAATCAACATTCTTAACAAAATTCTAAAATCCAGCATGGACATTCAATTTTTGGTATTTTTCACTATTTTCATGCCATCTCATGAGTGTTAAATATGGAATGTTCTGAGTTCATGTTATCTATTGCAGTTAATCTGACCAGTTGCCTTAAGCCGGGATCCCACCTAACACATTTTGAGCAGCCAAAGCAGCCAATTTACATGCAAAGTCTTTGGTGGACGCACATCTAGGAGCAGCACAGCTCGACACGCAGCAGTAACCATTCAGAGAGGATCATTTTTCCACGTGACAGTTTCCTGAACCTGACACAGATGGACAGTAGACATTTTAGCTGAAATCGACCATCTGCAGTTGGTGTTCTGGCTGAAGATATCAGCACCGATGTGAGTCAGCAACTCGCAGAGCTCGGGACAAAAAGTAAAAAATCAATAAAAGTCAGTCAGCTGGCAGCTTCTGGATTGGCGAAACTAACCGAACAAACCGCCTCTAAATTATCTGGTGAATTAATTATCTAGTGTGTGCAATGTTCGCTTGCTCTTTAGTAAATAAAACAAAGCCATTTTCTTTATTTTATCTTTATTTCACCCGTCATTAAAGACAGACCGGAAAAAAAACCAAGACACTCCTCCCTCTTCAGACGCGCGTCTAGTCCTGTCCCGGTCTTAACATTGTGTGTCCAACTGGAGGCGTTGGGAGTATTGTTGCTGCTCAAAACGTGTTTGGTGGGAACCCGGCTTCAGTATTTAAATAAATATTAAAATAATATCCCTTACTTCCAAACTCCTAAAAATCACCCCAGTCAGAAAACAAAAGCTACTATCCATCTGGAAGAGAGCTGCCGTGAATTCAGGGTTTCTGGGTTATGAATTCTTTGGCCAGGCTGTTCGAATAAGAACTTCTAACCCGGATGAAACTGGGGTATACCCTGGAGAAAAGGAGGTAGCTAGTGCTGGGTTAACTCTTAATTTCGCTCTTAAAAAAATAAATACTAATCTGTACCATCAGCTGTTCAGGGAAGCTTGTTGGTGATTGGTAGCAGCCAGAGCTCTGTCTAAACTGAGCAGTGAGAATAAACAGGGTGCAGCCTTTAGACTTGTGATTGCAGGTAAACTGAGGACTGGTACCCCCAGGGTAGCAACACCGTATAGACAGCATCCAAAGAACACCAGTGAACAAGATGTCATTCGTAATTATCAAGGACAGAATGAGGACTGGACAGAGTCCCGTCTATTACTCTCCTTGGGGCTCATGTGTTGAGTGTTTACTCTCATTGCCTGGGTAACATGCCTTTCTGACTCCTGCCTGATGACGGATTGCCTTTTTAATGTGGGTTGCCCCGTCTCCATCCTCTGTCCTGCCCTTAGAGCAGAACAGGAAGCAAGGTTCTTGTGTCCTGCTCTATGGGCTCAGTAGGGTTTTGGAGATTTGGTATGAGGACAGTGTGCTGGTGACTCACACTCAGTGTTTAGTCTGGTGTGATGATCTTACCCTAACCTTTGATCAGCAATGAGCACTGACACCGTGGTAAAAGCTTGTAGCTGTACAGGGCAAATTGATCTCCGTTGTGGTGGAAAAACCACCATGGTAACATCACTGAATAGGCCATTGGTGTACAGACATCACAGATAATAATCCAGGTGCTACAATACTGCAATTATTAGCTAATATCTTGTGCTTTCACACTAGTATGTGGCATTCTTTTAAAAAAAGTTGTTTTGTAAGCCAGAAAAATAATTAAAATAGGCCCTCATCCAGCTAGCTGTTTGCCTAGCCTAGAAGATCTTTACATCTACATATATGTCTTTATCTATATCTATA